CTGTCTCTTAGGTAATGTTGTAAAGGTAGGGAAGGAGAGTTGATATGAGTATCCTCCCAGGTTGTCAACGTCAGCAGAGCCTCTTGATCACACATTTCCCCATATAAACTTTATGACCCTGTCCACGATAATTTCGAGGTACCTTTTCAAGTTCGGGGACGGAAAACTGGGAGCAGAATAGGACAACGGTGGTAAGGAAGCGTGGAAACCCGTTGATTTTGCGAAAACAAGGTTCTTAGAAGTAGTTAATGTAGAGGGTTCACGATATAATGACAACGGGAACGGTCTGGAAGGAGTATTCGGACGAGATTTCAGTTGTGTGCAAATGCGTAAGGTGCTAGATACAGTAAGCGAAAAATGCCAAATATTGCTTGCAACTATCGCCAAGGGTCAAGGTTGCGGACAACCAATTAAATTTTCAACATTGTATATGCTTCACTGTGAAGGGAACAGCCTCTGCAAGACCGTTAAATTAAAAATCGGCCACTTCTGGGCGTAATCTACATTGAAGACGCTCATCGTACTCTCGAAGCGCCCTATCTGAGCCGTTCTTTGACCTGAGAACGACCATATGCAGTCCTTGAAAGCCAGAAATCTGCCTGGGAACCATTTTCTTCGTGGACTATTCCTTTGAATGCCCAAGCTTTGAATGCCCGAGCGATGAACCGAGTGCGTAGGTGCTCCAAAGAATTTGACTGTCAACGACATTTCTTCCTAACCCGACCAAGGCTGCTGAGAAGCATGAAAGTACCTTGAAGTAGCCATCAGAGCATTAATAATTAATCGGCACGAAATTCGAGAAGTGAATGACATAAGGTTCAAAAAACAGGGCCAGGAATGGAGGAGACTTCTATCCAGTAGGAGGTGAAGTGGAGAAAAATGGTAGGAATCAGGTTACAAGGCTCGCATCCGAAATTCCTTTGGTCACATACTACCATAAAAGCGGGAATAAAAGAAGTCTTCAAATCTGGGTACAGTTCTATACCGACACCCAATTTTCTTCCTGATTTCGCTTAGCTAGGTTCCAGCAATTCAACCTTGGCCTGGTTCCCACCAAGGGAGCCTGCCCTATGCATGCAACGTATGTCGTTCTACACCAACCCCTCGCCTTTTTGAGTCGCTGAAGCAAACGACGAAACGAATTTCCCTCTGGCTAGACGGCCATGAAACCAAGCCATTCATCTTCTTTAGCCAAAAGCTATAAATTCTAGAAAATCGCTGGCGGCCTCCATTCGTCTCTATGGTTTCGTGGCTGAGGCAGGTAAATGGTTAAAGCACGTAATTTCCTCAGCACATAAGCAAGCAGCCACACAATGGCCCATAACGACAACGACAGCAAAACGCTTTTCCGTTCAATGCCGACGTGTGATCGATTTCCGGACATTGAAAAGCCTTCAAAATAAGCTTTTCCGATTTGTAAACTCGATTGTTCTCTGAGAACCAATCGGTCCCCTACGTATAGCAGAATGAAAAGGAGTAAACTGGATTGGTATGGAAAACGATTGATCCCATTGAGTCAGGTTCGTAGGGAATTCGTGAACAAGCACGGTTAGTTATTCAAGTTGGTAAACTGAATCTTGGAGTTAGGGTTACTCACACTAACCCAGATTAAGGACCGAACCCGATCGGCTTGTCTTCTGGAAGCCCAGTCGGTTTCACCCCTGGAACTCAGTGTTGGACCCAACGTTGAGCCTAATTTGGCGTGAATTATGCGGGAAGCTCTTGGTCAGCCCTATTTGCAACACTCACACACCTCTCATCTTCTAGCCTGCACATTCCCTAACGGGAGACTTTCAAGACATTCATAACCCAAAGCATTCTCCTCTAGCACCCCAACCCTTCCTCGGAACCTTTTCTAAAAAATGTCGCAATGATTATCTGAACTGAACACTTCAAACCACTAATCTCGGTGGGTAGGTACACCCATGAATTATCCCAGACCTACACCTGTCAAGCGACCGTGACCTGTTTTTCAGTGCTNGCCAGTCTCCCAAAGCAACTCTGCTTTTTTTCATAAATCATCGTCAGCAGCATCGCTCTACCTTCCTGGGCCTATGGGAACCATCTACCATAGGTGCTCGGGAAGACGGCGATCCCTGCAATGTTTACATTCCCCAAGGCCATTACTGGTCAAATAGCGCACAGATGTGAATACGTGAGACAATGGCTTCCCATGCGCTACTCTAACGTCACGGATCGCTGGCTTCCAAGTTCAATTCCTTTCTCGGGAAAGTAAGGACTACAACAGTACTATAAATATATACGTAAATGGGACACTTAGGTTCAGTTTTTTCGGGAGTAAGGATACGGTATTGTTTTGGTGGGAGCGCATAAGGAGAAGTGGTAGGAGTACTTGCTGCCGCTACTACATGAACGCTGTTCAAAAGCAACTGTGTTTTCGAAAGTCGGACCTAACGTCACATAGCTGGTCTATCACGGATGCCCTCAATCCTACCTCCGTTGGCGGAAAACGAGTCAGGACTCTAGCCAAAAAACGGTGTAATCATTAGAATGGATGAAATTTCTCCCATTTTTCCAATTTTCTCATAATTTTCAGTTATGATGTGGAATTTTCTGTATTGTAGGTTGTTCCTATAATTTTAGGAGGTTTTATTTCACAAGTCGAAGGAATGTAATCATATCTGATGGTAATAGGAGCCTGGGAAGCCACCCGACCGTGAATCGTCGTCGCACCAACCTCGAATCAAGGAGCTCATAAATAAACCTATAACCTAGCCATTTGACGTAGCTGCCACTTTGGCTTCAGGCTNCGGATGCCCTCAATCCTACCTCCGTTGGCGGAAAACGAGTCAGGACTCTAGCCAAAAAACGGTGTAATCATCAGAATGGATGAAATTTCTTCCATTTTTCCAATTTTCTCATAATTTTCAGTTATGATGAAATTTTCTGTATTGTAGGTTGTTCCTATAATTTTAAGAGGCTTTATTTCACAAGTCGAAAGAATGTAATCATATCTCATGGTAATAGGAGCCTGGGATGCCACCCGACCGTGAATCGTCGTCGCACCAACCTCGAATCAAGGAGCTCATAAATAAACCTATAACCTAGCCATTTCACGTAGCTGCCACTTTGGCTTCAGGCTTCGGCGGAACGGAAACTTCTGGGTGTTACATGGACCGGTTACTTACGCTTCAAGGTTTAAGGGGAGAGAAAATAAAGAGAAAAGGTCTGCTTCACGTCTTCCACCCTACCAATTAACCCAGACTCGTACGTGGAACCGTAGATGGAAGACCAGGGGCACTAGGGGTACTGTAGTTTTTTACAGTATCCCATATAAAAACTATCTCTGACAACGGACTTTAGCAATCAAACGTGGGTTCCCCCTCCGTTTTTTCCGAGTGTCTACAAAAAATAACCTTCAAACTTACAATCTCAAGAAGATTGAGTGCTTGCTTACCTTGTTATTCAGTATTTTTTCAAGAGACTACTTTACTAAGAGGGCAAATAAATAAATCAAAATGAATGCTGCATAAATTGGATCCGTTTCATGGCGCCGCATGCTTTCTAGTCTTCATTCGAAAGCAACAACAAGCTGCTATTCCCTGTCTAGAGCTCGAAGACAAATATGGTGTTTATGGGGTTGACGAATCTGTTTTGAATGCTCAGAATAGCTGGTTTAGCCGTTTTAGTGAGTCACACAATCAAGTTTCCCTACCAAAAATAGTTCCCAGTAGCTTCCAAAGTAACTATTTTCATTCACAACAATGATGTTTATGTCAGTTATCCATTAATGATTCATTACGAGCAGTTGGATGAGTCTGAGCCTTGCCTCCTACATAGGGAGAGCTCGTTAGGCCTAAAGAAAGGGCCTACGCTCACTTAAAAAAACTGGGAATCCAACCTTAACGAATTACGTTTCTCGAACCCTCATAAAATTCAACTGAGAACTTTCAACATTTTCACTTTTTTGGGATTTTCCCTCAAAGATGGTTCCCACACTGAAGAAGTAGTTTATCTTACACGATCCTGAGGAAGCCACCTTGAAATTGAATGCAACGAAAAAAAAAATCTAAATTCACTTACTGTCCCTAGTTAGTGACCGGGCCTTCTCCATGTACTCCTTCAGCCCAGGTCCTTCTCGATGAGCACGAACTTTGGCATCATAGCTCCGGAATTTTGGTGGAATCTGAAGGAGGAAATTGTCAGACAAACAAAAAAGGAAATGGATGAAAAATAAACTCAAGCATTTCAAAAAAGCCCCTTTCTCAGTCCAGGCAGCCCAACCATTCTGTGATTCGTTTTTTCAAACTTTTCGTACCCTTGCAAGGGCGTTCATCGTGCAAGCAGCTTTCTACACCCAGTTTAATCACAGCTGGTGCAACAGCTTACTGGAAAGCTAGGCGTGTGATAGTATCCCTTCACCACTATCCTCCAACTGAAGGGATATTCGAGGCTCAGGGAAGTGTTCAGTGACTATCTCTCCCGAAATTCTTTCACTAGCATTCACCTTGTTACCGGGCTCCAGAATTTTTGGAAAGAAGCATCTACGTGACAGCAAGTTTTCTGAGTTGGCATCCTGAGTTAACTGAATAACTACGAACCCCAGAGCGATCAGAAGTACCTTTCAGATGTGATATGGACCATTCCCAGCCCTTGACTCTCCTTTCCCCTCTTCCTATAAACGACCAGATTAAGTACACTAAGTTGGAAGCCAGTTACTGCCCAAGTCACCCTGATTCATGCGATATCGTGATCGGTTTCCTCTGAAGTCACTCCACTTTCACTTCGGTTACCCCTTGAGAATAAAGGAAAATGGGGAAGGAATTTTGAGAAGAGTTCACGAAATTACCTCTGTTTGGGATCAGGATCAGGGTCCTCAAAAGGAGCATCAAGTGGCTGATGAGTATGTCTTACGGTGGGGACTTTTTAATGTCTATAGCGACCTCGCAACCAATCGTGGTACTTTCAGTAGCGGCCAAGAATGGTAGTCAACCACTTTTTCCATTTTACACTTATTGCTTCCCTTCCAGTTACTCCTCTGCCCTAAGAAACCTTCCGAATACCGAGAGCTTCTGAGGTAAAATCTCGGAAGCCAATAGTATCGAATAGTCCTTGAATGTAGGCGACTGGAAGCCCTTAAATGTGCCCCTTCGAAATGGGAAGCTTTTTTGAAAAAGCCGTCTGCAGCCTGAATGGCCCTTGAAGCGCAGCTTTCCAGCTCACAACGCACTCGGCCACTTATTTTACCGTAACTGCTCAAAAATAGCCTTTATACAAGTGTTCTTATGCGCCCCATTAAATTTCCCAGAAATCCCAGTGGCCCCCTAGAGGGTGAACGAAAGTTTTTCCCGTGTCCCATTGTTAAATGAACCATCGATCTTCTTTTAACCACCAAAAAACCGTTGTGCACTTCATGCCGAATCCGAAAGGACTTAACCGAATCCTCGACCGCCGCTAACATCTCTATGTAAGCCCCGAAAAGTAGTGGAGGGTGTTGTTGATTAATCTATTCACATAGTGGCAGTAAAGCTGGCCTTCGGAGGTAGTAACTAAAAGGCAAAATCGCTCCCCCGGGAGAGTAGCATTCCAGCAAATTGCCCGACAGAGTAGTGAACATAGAAAAACCTTGTTCATATAGCTAAGATCCCGTGGAGTGCTTGAGCCAAAGACGAAGTACTTGGCATTCGTCTGACGTTCTTTCAGACGTTCTCGTCCACGTGATGAAGCCATTATCGAGATCGGAAGAGATGTTCCTGGATAAATGGGTAGAGGAACGGCCTCATGGGAGGCAATCAACCATCAACAACACACATGTCAATAGAAGCTAATCAAAGAGAAATCATCGGAAAACGAATGAAAAAGGGAGGCATCGAAGAGCAAAAGAGGAGAGGTGCGGTTGATTAGTGAGGGTCGGCTGGCTCGTGAGAGTGGTCGCTTTGGTTCTAGCCACTGAATAGCGAAGGCCGACGGCGTGGCTCCACAGCAAGACTAATTGGCCGTTTTTCTGACGGTCGAAACGACGTAAAATAGGACGTTGCGAGAGAATCTCCGTGCGAATCCAAGGGAAACGCCGGAGGGATTCTGCTGAGAGAATGAAAGCATGAAAGGAATTCGTGAGGGCTGAAATCTCCGGGATTCGAGTGAAAAAGCTGGAATGCGCGTGCTCAGACCTTTCTAAGGATAGGATCAGTGAAAAGAAATAGATGGAGAGTGAAATCTATATTGTTGTGTTCGTCGTCGTCGTCGTCGGCGATATGGCAGCGCCGGCGGCGGCGGTGATGGCGGCGCTCTGCTGGGGGCACCGATTTGGAAAAAGGCCCCGGAAGGCGACACTTTGCCTCTCGCCCCGGAGACTCGCCGCCGATCATGAGAGACGGAGACACAGAGCTGCTCAGTGGCCGCCTGGCTGGCCGACTCGAAGAGTGCATTCAAATTTCGAGGTCGGTTCTCGGTTGCTCAGCAGCCAATCGTCAGCATTCGGAAACCCCATGAGGCGCATGGATGTTAGCGAGAGGTGGAAGGTAATGGAACTCGATGCGTTTAGCTGAGATGCTGTCGCAGGCGGATTTGTCCTGGAAATGCGGCTCCTTCGGGTGCACTTTTGTTTCTCAGAGACAACGACGTTCACGATTGTGTTCCATTCAGAATCATAATAGCGACTTGATTGGTTATGGGGTCCAGACAATGACGATCGTTCGGGACCAATCACCGACAAAGTTTATGGGTACAAGCAAACTAGTGGCCATTAGGTTAGCCACGGATCTGGGACGAAGATGTCGGTCAACTACAGAACAAACGACCTACAACTACGTTGCCGCCTTCAATCAAATTTTCTGGTACAAGTGCCCCAGAAGAAGTATGTGTGGGAGGGTGACAGCAACTTGCTCCAGTCACTATGGTAATAAACCCTGCAATATGCCTGTAGTTATCCGCTGCACGTATGACATAAATGTCGTAGCGTTTCCGAACCCAATATAGATGAATGGGGTCCTGTAACGATGGCTGTGATTACGGTAAAGGTCATGCCATTCATAGTACTAGAATTGCATGTAATTACACACGATTGCTTCACGACAATTGCAGTGCATCAAATGGAAAACCAAGCCAGGCGAGTACGAGGATCGGACTAAGGATTCAGCAGAACTCCAACCACGACGAAACGATTTTTCATTTTTTTAGAAGGTAAAGTGTAACTCGTTCATTAAAGCTATTCGAAGAAGTTCCTGCCCTCTATCTGTTTGGAAGCCTGAACGAAGGGTACGTTCCAAAGTAGCCGGTCACTGCCCTTTGCTACTTGTTGAAGAATCGGACCTACTACAGCCAAGGAGCAGATCCTAATCTTGAATGACAAGTGCAGAAATCTGGGAGGACATCGAATTGTCATGGGAAAACTTTCCATGTCTTAGTTTTCCCATTTGTGGGTCAGGAGGGGGTTCTTTTAATAGCTTCAATGAAATAGATAGCTTTAGAAGCGGGCTCTGGAAGCCTCCGTTCACAAGGGCCACTGGACTGACACCTACTGAACCTCGTGTACGAAAGCTGACGGAATGAAGGAGTAAAACCCCGTTCCTGTCTTTTACCCTTCGCAGAAAAAATCACCGGCCATGTATGAGTCCCATCTATAGGTCACATCCATTCAACAGTAAGCCGTTAACATAAGTGTGGCATATTCCAATGTCCTCAAAGAATCTGACAGTGGCGCAGGACCCTGAAGTCCCTAGATTTCCATAAACTATCACTTAAACATTTGTCATCCCATTACTGGGTTTTGGGTATGATGAACCTCCCCCATACCCAGAAAGATCAGTATGTACTCCTGCACAATTCAAGGCATCCCAAAAGCATCGCATTGGATGAGAATGAAAATGGTTTCAGATCGATCTCTGCCCTACGCCTAATTTGCTCCGTCTTCCAAAGACCTCATTGGTAGTCAAACGAAGACCTAGCAATGACCAGAAGCAAGTTAAAAAGTCATTTAACTTTTTTGCACCGTATTGTGTGGGCTGTGGGCCATGGATTGAAGAAAGGACTTTGTGAAACTTCACGTAACTTGCGATTGGAATCCCTCAAATGTCCTTTTGATTGTTTCCGGTGTCTTTACTAGACAATTATGTGCTATTGTGACGTAGCTCATAATTTAGCGCTGAACAGCAGAGCTTCTAAGTTTTGGAGAGAGTTCTGACTCCTTCTCTTCACGATGACTTTTCACCTGATCCAGGTAATTACTGTCTTCGCAACTCCTGTACCTATTTTTCCTATTTGCCCAAGCATGCTCACCACGATCTCATGATTGGACCAAGATAGCGTAGTGCCATTAGCGTTACAAGTTCAAGTATGGTCTGGGAATCGAATTCCCAGGCCTTGTGGCTATTCAAACCATGAACATCCGGACAAGCCAGCCAACGCTACCATCCGGAATTGACTAAATACTAGTAGGCTCGGGGAAATAAAACTTCTGACTTTTAGGTCTTTTAAGCTACTGAAGCCTCTGTAGGTATTAGGGACCCATTCAATTAAAGCTACAACTCTGAACGGTAACCGATAGTTTGGGCGCATCCGAAGACAAAATCGGCCAACACCAGAAACTTCATAGCGCTCCTTCATCCTTCAAAAACCAGAGCAACGAGGAGCAACTGCATGTGGGAGGTATCGCAATCACTTGGTTTCATTATTCTGGGATTCGAGTAGGAGTGAATCCTACCTCCACCCAGCCCTCACTCCTTCTGCCCTGAGGACAATAAATTACTCTCTGAATGACTTCCGTATGCCCTTCAATGTGTAGGTTTATGGACCTGTTTGGTGCCCATAGTACATCCATAACCCAATAACTTCCAGTGGAGTACATTCCAAGAAAAGCAAGGAGATTTGACTTGGAGGCTTCTAAATCGTTACCCTGATGTTTCTTTTCAGAAGCCATTCCTCAATAGCTATGCCGACGTCCTCGAACGGACCCTCTCAAGCATCCTCTAGAACAGCAATCGACTATGGCAGAGGCGGAACCTGTTTTTTAGGCATCACGTAATTTCTCTGCAATGTTGTCCATGCCCGCAGAGGTTTCGTTAGTTTTTAGCATGAGATCGTCGTCTAGGCCATTTCTCCTGGGAATCATTCTGGGCGTCTTCTAAAAAGCTCTGTCGCACGGGTTTCTTTATATTCAAAGGACTTCCGTACTAATACTCTGATTCTAAGCAGACATCCACTTATTAAGCCATGAATCAATCGTATGAAGTGCGCTTCTAACTGGTAAGACCTAGTGCGAATGACGAAAAAACAGCTGGCAAAGGGGAAATAGGAAAAATGAAGGCGGTATGGCGTCAATAGCGACTAGTGAATGATGTGTGTGTTTAATCAGGCAAGGAATGAAAACGCTAATATTATATAGCATGTTGGTGTCTAAGGAATCAGAAAAAGACGGAGGAATTTCGAGTAATTTTTCCCTGCCAATATACGTTCCAGCACTGTGAGAATCACGTAAGGGGAATGAGAGCAGTACCCATCGAGGGGCGTTCTTGACAGCAGTGGGCGTTATAGGCGAGCTCTAAGGCCCCTTTACGAACTTTCTGACTGAATTTCGATGCCATGATGCTATGTATTGCCTTTCTACGACCAAAGTTCCGTCTGCGGACTCAGCCTCACCCATAGTTATGCCTGGAACAGGCCTGGAATCGTCCAATTTGAATGTGTACCGATGAGTTCTTTGGAAACAAATCCCCACTTGGTAGAGCTCGGATCCGCGCCCGAAGGATTCATTGAAACTTTTGCTTTACTACTACTCTACTTTACTCGGATCTAGGATCATGGGAGCGTGCGATGACAGCCGCGATTGTCTACGAGGCATCGTTTCATCACCACTATTCCGTTGTCACCGAACTCTTTAGTTTGAAATCGGACCATATTTTCCTGTCCTTTCCCAGATCATCAATTTGTAAACCACTGGCTTGGGTTCTTTTTGGGAAAATGGGATCATTACGAAGACGTTCAATGATATGAAGTCAGGCTCAACATAAAGCTGACTCTTCTACCGGACAACTCGTCCACGCCGTTATGTATTTCAGCTGTCGTTGAAGTCACTTACAGTTGTTCCAGTGTCTGCGCAATGTAAGACGCTCCCTTACCTCACACCACTAGTTCTCCTCTCCTCCTGCATTCAGTAATTCTTTGGTCTAGCTCACCTTAGATTGTGTAGCACCACGTGAGGTCAATTTCCCCGTATCCCAGTAACAACAACTTTGAACCAATCGACATACCCTTGATCCTTTGTTAATAGCTCCTGCTCAGAAAATGTAATCACTTGACAGGAAGATCGCATGCCAAATTATTATGAATCGAGGGCACGATTCGTTCGCGAGCGCAAAAAAAAGCGTAGTGGAAGCAAAAAAACTCATCGCTCGAGATTTTTTCAACTTCCGATTCGTGCTGAAAGCCCACTAGGATGGAATACTTGTATGGTTGAACGTTGCTTCTGTGATAAGCCGAATGATCTTCAACAATGCCTATCTGAGACTATTCCCGTGATTAACGGAGTTTTGAACCAACATACCTCTCTCACTTGTTGGGCTCGGCCATATAGCGTTACTTGTCATTAGAAGCTTCATTTTATGAGCATTGGGAGCTTCTGAGTTCTCAATAAGGCCAAATAGCTATTGAGATCGTTATACTAGTCCAAGAGTGCATCTACAAAGGATAGCTGTCATCAAAAAGAGACTATTGACAAAGTGAAATGCCCTTGA